GAGGAGGAGTAAGGGTAAGGGGAGGAGAGAGAGAGAGAGAGAGAGAGACGAGACAAAGACGAGGAGAGTACGGTGACGTGAAATTTCGTTGATTCGTCATTGTAATTAATCGTGGCGGATATTAGTTTTCACGAAACGAAACGAGAAAAAAAGAAAACGGCGTGTTTGTGGTACACGTCGACCAACGATATAAGTCAGCCGGTGTGAATAATTGGGAAAGATAATCGCGATGACGAATCGAAATCGTATCCATTAACCTTATCGTCGCTTTGGAAGCTCGATCCTCGTGGCCGGCTTCCACGAACGAAAGAAAAAGACGGAAGAATGGGGGGAGCGCAAAAGCGCCGCGTAACCGCGCGCAAGAACACGCGTGTTGATAAAAGGTCGACGTCGTTCGAAGGGATTGTGATGAAGTACGTTTTCGGGAAAAAACGCGTTTTAAAGTTGACGCGGAGACGGTCTAAGGACCTCCTCTCTCGTCGAGGAGTAATAACTTCCGGATTAACTTTAAGTGGAGAAGTTCCTCCGCGATTGCCTCAACACGTAAAGTCGTGCACGTACACGTCTGTCGCGGTCTCCACACGACGACTCTCTACGCAAGACGAGACAGCAGAATTTGACGTCAATTTAACTCATTTCACGGAATCGATCGAGAAGATCATCGGATTTGCTCGCTATGATCGTAATCACCGTTTCTCCCTACTTAGCCGTACTTGCTCGTCTTCCTCTCTCTCTCTCTCTCTCTCTCTTTCTCGAGTCTCTACAGTCGTTTATATAAATTCTTTTTCGCTTCCCTCTTCGAGGATCGATCTAGACCTCGGCGACATTTCTCCCCTTTCCCTTTGCCGTGTCTCAAAAATAACTTTCGTTCGGAATTTTCTGCAACGATTTGTACATTAGTGCGTTGCATTTATCGATATTCGGACGGATATCGCGAACGGTGTACCAAGCCAAGACGATTTTCCATTCCACAAAAATACAGGTATACACTCCCGTGTATATCGGAATGTTTAATTCCAGCCCAGATTGGATATTTCTCTTGATCATTCGCGTTTCATTTTCTCGAAACGAGGATTTCGATCCTTTTTTTATCGATTATCGAAATAAAATTGTAATATCTCGGCGATCTCTTCCGAATTTCGACGAGTTTTAACGTTGTTCAGTTAAAAGAAACGTTAAATCTGGTACACCGTTCGCGAGCATCGTCCTTTAAGTTCAGAATCGAGAATCAACGGCGCGAGTCAATTCGATTCGATTCGAAGAATTTATTTATTCACGAGTAACTTATGCGTAATTTTTAATACCGCTTCATTTTTTCCTTTCCTTTTTCTCTCTCCTTTTTTTTCTTTTCTTTTCTCGTTCGATCCTTTTTTCGTACTTCCGTTGCTTATAACCGACCCGTTATTGTTTAACCCGTTATTCTCTCTCTCAACATCACAGATTGTAGTTTCATAAAAATTCACACGCATGCAATTCATACCCCTCGCTTGAAACATTTACCGCCAGGTGTGTTCCGGGTGTTCTACCTTTCACTGTGTGTCGCTTCGAAAGATCCTTTGTTAATGCGATCCCCGCGAATAACGAGACTTTGTTTCCGTCATTAACGCGTCGGCTGGCATCGTGAATAAGAGCTTTGTAGCCTTCGGTTTACGTTTCAAAAAAATTCCTTCCCCTTCCACCCGCCCCATTGATTTTTGTCCCAATTTAAATTTAAACGCGGGAAAGTTTACGAGTACGAGTACTCGAAATAATACGTAAGAAATCGAGGATACCAGTCGACGCGTTTCTCCGACGTTTAACCACCTCGAGAATATTTCTTTCTCGGAAGAAGAAGCAAAATGGAGCAAGCGTATCCCAAACCCAAACGTACAAAGTAGTGTTCGCGGCAATTTTCATCTCCTCCATCTCCTCTCTTACGCTCTCTCGGACGCATATCCAAGGTTTGTCGGTGCGATCTCTCTTTCTCTTGCTTTCCAAGCTCTCTCTCTCTCTCTCTCTCTCTTCTCCATCTCCTTCTATCATCACTCGCGCAAGAATCTAACAAACACGAAACAAACACGTGATCGAAGGACAAAATCGATCAATTTATTCGAGCGAAGAAATATCTCGCAATTTAGGGAATGGGCGGAGTTGAAAAAATCCCTTTCGTCGAGGGTGGAGGGGGATTCGTCTAATCCAAGCGCCATGTTGAGGAACATTGATCGCGGATTAACGTCGATGGGTTTACGGACAAAGCCGGAAACCGGCGTCGAAACGACGGATTGACGGTTGTACAGGTCGGTTGGAGATTTATCAAGGGGGGTTGGCCGGCCACGTACGAGATTACGATTTAAGTGAAACCGGGAAGGGGGCGGTTCGCCGGGAACGATTAATGAAATTGAACGGCCGGGTTTCCGCGGCGAGAGCTCAGTCTAACGGAATTAATGACGCGCGCCGCGCGTAACCGTGGAAATGTTCATTACACCCGTTGAGAAATGACGCGGCTGGCCTCCCGGATTTTCCAATTTCTTCAATCTGCCGCCGCCAGGATCGGGGAGGGGAAAAAAATAGACCAATCCGCGGAATTTCCAGCGCGGAAATTAGCGAAAATTAGTTTCGAGCGTCGAATTAACGCCGTTGAAATCGCTTTTTTTTTTTTTTTTTCGAATCGAGTGATTCGTTAGTACAATCCTCTTGCGTGCTCGGTTGATTATTCTCAAAATTGGAGGAAATTAGTTTCGAATTAAAGGGGTGAGAGATCAAGGAAGAGGAGAGGTCACGAGTAGATTCGTTACTGCAATAGATTCTTTCAGGGAAACATTAATTTCGAGTATTGAATTAAATATTCCGAGATTAAGAGTGCTTCTTACGTTGCTGGCTTCGCTCTTACGATTTGTAGTTTGGATTAAACTTTTTTTTTTTTTCCTTTTTCGCTTTGTCTAATGCATTGGTATACGGTAATGCTTGATAATTGAAAGAGATTGATATATTATCCCTTGAAACGTATCATCCATATTTATGTTTTACGAAAATTTATCTACATTTCAATCCAGGATAAACATTCAGACATTTCAAAACTATACCTCGAAACTTTGCATCATATTAATTCAATTTCCCTTTGATCCGTAATTCATCGATATTTAATATTCAATATGGACGATCACCAGAGATTCCACTTTTCCAAATTTCGACATGACACGCGGTATGAGACAATGTAATCGAAAATCCCAAAGTTTCAAAGTTTTCCATGTGAAAAAACGACAACGTAACAACTCGATCGAACGAAGTCGATGACCGTAATGCGAAATGATGATCGAGGAAAGGCTATGCCGTCCCGAACCTTCTGGGAACGGATTCTTTCCACCAGGTTGCGCAATCGCGGGATAATTACATTGCGCTAATAGCCACTCGATGATTCGATTCTCCTCGTTAACTCGGACCAACCACCGGGGAACCAGTTCGAAAAAACTTCGAGATCCTTCAACCTTCTCTTCTACAGATATAAACTTCTCTTTTTTTTTTTCTTCTTCTTCTTCTTCTTTCTCTCCTTTATCGCGATACGGCCACGAGAATCAGCCAGAGACGTTTGATCATTCAATGGCCACGAGCCATTGAAAAAAAGTAATAAAAAAGGAGGAACGTACCTCGATACTTCTTTAACACGAATGTAGTCACGATCAACGAGGAATTACGAGCGTTAATATTTGATTAACAAACACGACGCGATCGCCTGAATTTGACTGAATGATGCAACTGAAAAAGAAAAAAAAATATATATATATATATATATTTAGAGCAGCACGATCGTTGTTTGCATTCTTAATATTTATATTTTCGCGATATTTCTATTCACTCACGACCGACAGTTGTACACCGACGATAATCGATGACACAAACTGATACACGCGTGTCGATTCTCGTTACGTACGGAAATTAAATTCAACGTTTTCTGATTCCTGGCTGCTTGTTAGTTTGCCAATTAATAACGAGCGATCGGCGAGAGAAAGGAGAAAAAGGGAAAGGAGAAAGACACGCACAGATGAGAAGAACGACGGAAGAAGAAGAGAGACAGAATGGAGAAAAGGCAAAGGAGGGAGGTAGGCGGAGAAAAGAGATTGTTTCACGGGGGGATGCGGTAATCGATCCGACGTAGATACGTTAAACAATTTCACGATTCGTCATCGTGTCCGAGAAGGATAATTAACCGTGGCAGGGAAACGTGAGAAGAGCGTAATTTCGTATCGCAATCATCGGACCTAATCCCGGGCCAGCCAGCAACAATTACAGAACGCCTTCCATCGAAGATGAAGAACACGATGTCTCTTGTCCTCCTGTGTGGAGGAGGAGGAAACTATTACATCAAAACGCAAACGCTGTTTCGCGGTCGAGAAGAAAGAAGAAAAAGAGAGAATGGACGGGACGAGAAAATGGCTACTAATGAAACGATCAACAAGGGAAAGTTTCCATAGTTGTTTTTCCTTCTATTTCTCCCTGCGGGAGTTCTCTCGTCGTCACGTCTCGTTTTCTCGCGTGAAAATACGAAATCGAATCGAAGAAAAATCGTAAACACATCCGTTAATCTTTCGAGAACGATACATTATTGATTCGTGACAAAAATTCGTGAAATTTTTATGGACAAGAAGAAGAACGCGTATCAAGGATGAGACAAATATCGATATTACTCATACATCATTATTCATCGATGAAACGAGAGCCGGATCTCGTCGAGCAGTTTCGATCGCCTCTCGAAAAGCCAGCCAGTTTCTCCGACTAATTTTCCACGAAACTTTCCGCGATAATTGCATTTGCACGGAATAAGCCGTGTCAATCTCTATCGATCGATCGAAAATTACAACCCGCCATGCCGCCTCCCCCCTCCCCATTTCCTTTAATTCGATCAATCTGTATTTTTTTTTTTTTCTTTTCACCAGCCCTTTCCAATCTCTCGATCCGCAATCCCGCATTTAGCCTAAACTAATTGCAGCCGCCCGAATTCCCTCGATAATCGTATTATCGTGAAATTAACTCTTTCGTTCAATTGAAAAAAAAGATTGACGCGATCATAGTCGTTGTCGCGGCCGCTCTCTCGCACCTCTTTTTCCCCGATTTTTAACCTTCTCTCTCTCTCTCTCTCTCTCTCTCTCTCTCTCTCTCTTCTTCTTCTTCTT